GAAAAAGGTAAAAATTCTAGAAAATAAACAATTATTCATTTTCTCATACAACAAATAGATAACCAGGCATGAGAACCAATTCTGGCTCTAAATTAAAAAGACGAATTCAACTAGTAAAGATCACAGTAGTCGAGAAAGGAGAAATAAGTAAAATAAAAAATAAAAAAATTCTTTTAAGAACATATCCACGACTTTAAATCGCCTGGGTCCATAAAAAGTTCAATTAAAATTCATTTTAACCCAATCAATTATGGCCAAATAAATGAAAAATACACCAAGTGGAAAATACCTGAGTTCGATTTTCGAATGCGCCACATCTGATTGAATAGAGACATGAGGAAGCATAATCAATTGGATCTCATCTATACTGTATATTGCATGACCGCATATACATCCAATTTGTCTTCGCTTGGTAACCAAAATCAAATAATATAACAAAAAACTTAATGCAACCTTTACAAAATGAAATGAAAAGAAAAAAAAAAAAAACTCAATTATATACTGAAATGTACAGAAATAACAATATAATAGAAATAATAAGGTCTTTAACCCACACCCCCCCGCCCCAAAAAAAAGACCTCTTGTTCCTGTCACTCCCAATTAAATTGAAGCAAGTTTTTGATTTCCTGAGGGGGCATAAACCACCGGATCCTCGTTGATATTTAGATGGCTCAGATCGATCAATTTTCAACACTCGAAAAAACCTCTTGTTCCTGTCACTCCCAATTAAATAGAACCTCTGCTCAAAAACACCCAAACTCAATTCAGTTGAATAGCCCTTAGTTTATCAATTATTTGAAAATTACAGTTAAAAAAAAACCCTCACCGCTCTGGTCTCCTAAAGCTTGAACTTCTCAAGGGAGCAGGAATTGGAGTCTATCTCGGGGTGGGATTTTGCGGAAGAGGAAGCATATGCAGGCAAATGAGATTTCGCCATTGAAATAAGCTTCATACTGATCTTGTCGGGTACAGATTTTGTTTATAGGATTCCAATTCGATGGTGAAGGGATTTCAACGGTCGGGTTAATTACATTTTGAAGTCCGGTCACACTCACTACATTTTAAAGTTAGATCAAATTCCCTTTCCCACCCTAGGTTTGGAAAATCTATTTCCCATCCCTAATTTCGGAACCATCATGTTCCCCCAATTTTTAAATTTCAAATATTATGCTTAATCGTCAAAGCGTATTTACATCTTCTTATGCAATATATACAAACTTGAATAAAAAAAAAAAAAAAAAAAAACTTAAATCATCACCCAAATAAATTTTTAAATAAAAAAAAGAACCTAAAAAGAGGGTTGAAAAACAAAAAAAAAAAAAAAAAATTGAAGGCCATGCCTATAGGGGGGCCGCTGGTTAAGGCCATGTTGGTCGCTACTAGATTTGACAGTATGTCATGGCTACTTTTGTTATTTCATTCTTTCTAGATTTGATTTTGAAGTTTTGTTTTTGATGTGTTTGGACATGGTTAATTATATCAATTTTTTTTTTTTTTTTTTTTTTGTATCTGTGAGTGTCTAAACCAGTTTGTGCGTACCTCAATAAGTCTCTTAGGACCCTAAAGTTGACGGTCAGATAAGCATTCAGTGGTTATCCCTTATTAATAGGTCTGGAGATTTGAACTCAAAACCTCTTAAATAATATACTCAAAAGTCTCAAGCAAACCGTCAAACTATCTAAAGATAATTATAAAAGTTTAATGTTGATGATGTAAAAGTTTGATTTTGTCACCCAAAGAACATTTTTATCATAAATATGACGCAAATTTAGAAGAGATGATGAGAAGACATTTCAAAATCGATAACTTTAATTGAAATTTTTTAAATGATTGAAATATTTGTGTAGATGATTTAATTGTTAAATTAAAAGGCTACTTTACCCCTTTCCATGACTTATCAACTTAAACAATATTTTTTTATATTCCTTATTCTTATTAATCATTAACCAAAAATAAAAATAAAAATTTATTTTAACTAAAATACCAATATTTTGATTTTGTCTCAAACTGAAATTACTTAAAGGTTTTATAAAAGATCTAGCCTTTGTTTGTCTCATAATATAAATTTTAAAATGTTTGATTACAATAAAATTTGTTTTAAGTAATTTTTTTTTTTTTTGGTAATCGAGGTATCCGAGTCAGTTTGCACATATCTCAACTAATATTTGAAGTCCATTGAATACCCTGTAATTTTTAATAATTATTGCAAACTATCTAGTGCATTTCTCACACATTTCCACTTTCGAAATTTTTGTCGATCCTTCAACCAAACGTTATAATCCTTCCCCGGCTTGCACTCAATAAAGTCAGCTAAATCATCAAAGTCAGACAATTTTTGGGAACCTCAAGTAGACACTTCAGAAAAGCCTCACCATTGCAGGCTTCAACTGTTTCCTCTTCTTTACCTAGATTAGATTCCATCTCATTCACGACAAAGGCATTTTCTCAAGTTTCTGCACGTTTGTCTTTGTTTCTTTCATGGATATTTGTGGGTTTGCTGTGTTACGAAACAAAAAGAAAACATGAGATTATAGAGATGAATGGCAAATTACCATAGGACAAGGAAGGAAAAATAATATAAGAACAACAGAAGAGAAGAATTTAGGATTTGGAAGAAATTATCATAAATACATTGTTATTTTCAATTATCAAGAAGCTGTGCCCAATATTTAACATACAGCCTATCAGGTTCAGTCATAAAAGCTAAATATGAGATCCTTACAAATGTCCCAAGTTTCGATGGTATCATAATTAAACAGTCTCCATGATAAGACTAATGATAATCAACAGAAAACCTGACCTTCAGAACCCAAAAATAATAATAATAAGCAAAAGAAAATCAAATAATCAAAGAAGTTCCTAAGTATTACACGTCTTTAGGTCTTATAAGGGTCTCCATCAGAGAAGCTACCATATTCGTTGCAAAATGCATCATGGTTAAATTAACAATGAGCAAGATACGTAAGGAACCAAAAATATAAATGCGATAAAGTATAATAACTAGATATGTGGGAACTGTCATAGTTCATGCATAACTGACTAGGAAGAAAATCAGTAAATAGGTTTGTAGGGGTAATAAGTCTTAACAAATACCAACTTGCAGCACAAGGGCCATAATAACTACCTTGTCATGCAGAAAAAGGATGTGCAATTCACATTTGGACCACCATAAATCTTATATAAGAAACAAAACACTAAATAAATTTTTCAAGCAAAAGCTAATCAGCATCATTCTAGTTGTGCATCTTATTCCCCCATTTTGTCACAGGTTGCATCCTTATGAAATAAAATATAAAGTAGAAATTTACAGTTTCCAGAACTCTGTGCCCCCAATTGTGGCATTGATTCAGAGATTTTATATCAAAACAATGCATTTTGACGCTATTATCTTCTAAGATATTATAAAATCTCTGGTAGCAAAAGATTTGCATTAATATGACATAAGTTTTTTTTTTAATTTTTAGTTACTTTAACCAAAGGCATAGTTTTAAATATTGGATGGATGAGAGATTTTTGTTTAATCTTTGTTTGATGTTGATTCGAAATTTGTTGATGATATTTAACTGAAGATTGTTGTATGGTAAAAATTTCGTAAACCATCAAAACTGAACCAATCTGACCCAATTTTCTCAGTTTGGTTTCAATTGAAGAAGGCTCCAGTACAGTTGGGTGTTTGAAGGAAAAAAAATTCAATTGGGTTTGGTTCCATTCAGACCAAAAACCAATATGTAGTGACTTTATGCAAGTACAAGGCTAAATTAATATGCTCACCCAGAGAAATTTGGAAAAATAAATCCTGTGTTGATATCAAAATCATTAAAAACAAACTCCAAATAAAATTTATGCAGATAGCAAATATTAAGGCAAATGAAGAACTTATACACTCAATGTAAATAAGATGTACCTGAAGAACGTTGTCTGCATCTTTTGAAATTTTGATGCAATTGTTCTGCATGACTTCTGCTCCAGCAATGCCTGTAACAATGACAACAACGTTAAAGCAAGGAAGGAAATGGGAGAAAGGAAATAGAAGAAATGATTTAGGGAAGACATAAAACTCACTTCTCCTACTTTATCAGAAAATCTTGATGAAATAAATTCCGATCCAGAAGCAAATAATGGTGACAGAGCATCTAAATCTCCCTCTTCAAAGACATAGATTCAACAAGGACATCATTGTAAGGATGCAGTCTTTAACTAAAAAATAAAGTCCAACAACATAACTTAATGAGAGCAAGCCTGAAAAATGCAAAAACATCCATTTGGACTCTTTATGCCTCATCGGGTGAGTTTTCATCACATCAAACACAAACTTCTGAATTGGTAGACAGATATTGAATTGCCGAAAACAATCAACAAGATGCACTACGGATTCATATTTCTTACATGACAGAACATCCTGCAAAGTTTTCAGACAACCTGAATTGCTGTTGTGCCTCAAGCACCAAATTGCTTGCAACATCGAACTACTCATTAACTTCAATATAGAAGCCAGAAGACATATATCTTGGGGACTTTTGACCTGAATACACAAAAAAGGATCACGCATATTATCAGAAGAGCTTTTATGTACAATGGAAGTTAATATTGACAACATTTTATCTTTGTATGATTTATCAAAAGCATTTAGGCTCTCCCTTACATATGCAATAGAGGCATCCATCAGGTCGGATTTTGTTCTATGAGCTGTATTGTTTACGTAACAATCCAAAGATTTGTTAAGCTTTGTAACTAGATGATCAATTTTGTCCTTTGTAGCTGGCTGAAGATAAGATTCAAAAGCCAGTTGACTACTTCCAAACATACACGATTTGACACTTGAACTGTTACTACCTATAGGAAGGTCATCCATATGCAAGTTGGAAAAGTGGCTTTTGTACAAGATAATGGACCTCTCCAATGACCAAAATGGCACATGAATAGCATTTCACTTGTGGACGACGCAGAATCAATTAGCAAAAAGTACTCCCTCAATGACTTATGCATTATATATACAGTACCAGGAAACACAGCTGCAAACTGGTTTCACACTTTCTGCAACTTCTCCTCCCCAATGATCCATCTTGACAACCTACTCGGATCTTCAGCAAACAATTTACATGATGTCGGGATGATCCGAAGATCAGCACCAATTTGATCATACTCCCTGAGGACTGCTTCCATCTCTGCTTCGACAACATCTTTGTCAAGTCTATTCATTTCTACAACATGAGAATAGTGCATCTCCCTCTCATGATCATTTTGGCAGGGTTCCATTGCTGGGCCCTGCAATTCCAAGAGTTGACTATAAGAGCTTGTTTCCAGTACATGCCCATATGCATCAATTATGAAAATGATTAGAGCTGGCTATATTTTCTTTTCCTTCAAAGAACATGAACACATTACCTGGCATAGTTCAGTATAATGTTTATATATCTCACTGCCTTCATCTTGATCACCGAGCAGTGTTCCACCATACCAACCATTGGCTTCATCAGCAAAGATCATTGTGAGATACCTAGATAACCACAAGACAATAAATAAAGTTATAAACAAAAATGAAAAGAGATGAGAAAATCAGTCACAGAAATGAAAACTACACATTCCCATTTTAAAGTGCCATCGCCATTCTGAATTTGGTATTGGTGTAAAAACTCTAAACCTTCGGTGATTTCTCAAAAGAACAAATAACCCTTTAGTTTATCAAAAATAATAAAAGACCCCTGACATAAGTCTAATTATACATGACAGACACCTAACACACACAGACTAGTGAAATCTCGTATTTTCTTATGATTTTTAAAAGCTTTCATTAAACGACCAAAAACTTGAGACCCCTAGTCTTCCTCAATACAAATAACCCTATAATGTTTTGGTGACATTATCCAAATGTAATAATTAATTTTACAAAAAAGAGGGACCACTTATAAATTAAGCTCCGTAGTTAGGCCGGCCAATGTGGCAGTATGAGTGAAGAAAAATTGAAAAATAACTTGTGTTTACGTACAACTTTGTGAAAACTAGCAACCTATCCATTTATAATCGAGAAAAGCTCATTTGTAATTTCTATATGATTCAAAGTTTCAAAGAATTAATCAATTTTTTTTTTTTTTTTTTTAAGCTCATTTGTAATTTCTATATGATTCAAAGTTTCAAAGAATTAATCAATTTTTTTTTTTTTTTTTTTAATCTTTTAAGAAAACATAGTAATTCAGCATGAATGACTTTGTCTTGAAAAAAATCAATCTGACCCTTCAACTTAAATAATTTACCATTAATACAATATTTTATCTATTCCATCAAAATCATATTAATATAGGTGCACGGGATGAAATAAATTAAACTTTTATGAATTCTTCCAAGGTTTGTTCTGACATATTCTAAGAACATAAGATAAAAAAAAGTTTACCAATGTATTTTTACACTCAAAAATAATTTTAAAAAAGATAACATAAGCAAGAGTTATCCGTATTTTCAATATATCTCATGGAGTTTAAAATTATCTATTTTTTATTTTATTTTATCTGATCTTTTGCATCATCAATTACCATTTTAGCCTACAACTGCTCAACTGTAACGGAAATTTCATTAGCATTTGATTAACTTCTTTTTTTTTTGCCTTCAGAAAAAAAGGTGGAGGTTATTTGTATTTTCAGGGAATGACATGGGATTTAGAGTTATTATACTTTCGTAGACAATTGATAACAGATGATGTTAAGTGAATTCTAGAGTGAAACTTTTAAGTAACATTTTAATGTGTTTAAGATTATAAATCCAGATAACCTACACATGTATAAAATGTTCTTGTATCTAAGATTTAATGGTGGTCATCTCCAACAGATTGTGTTTGAATTAAAACATAACAGCTGTGTCTGAATCAACATACTACAACACTAATCAATAAATCTAGGGCTACCTACATATCTAAAAAGGATGAAAATTTATAAAACCCTCAACGTTAATTGAACAAATTAAAGTCAAAATCCCATTCCAACTTCACAAATAAACTGATAGTTGCGTATGGAATCATGTCAAAGATACTCCAAGCATGCATATTTGCTACATAATCTATAATGTAGCCAGGTTTCACCTAAATCATACCAATAGCTACATGGCCCATGAGCAGAGTAGAAAATAAATGCATTGTCACCTTTGGGTTCTTACAGGCTATTATGGAGTTCAAGCTTTGGCTCAAAACAAGCAACTTGAGGGCCAGCCTAGCTAGTGACAAACTGAGTTGGGTTAACTAAGTTATAACACTGAGAAACAGCATCGAAGTGTCCTTCTATGCCAAATGGGAATGCTTTAATTATAGAGAAAATTACCTCTGGAAGACACCTTCGTCATTTATGTCATCAACTGAAGAAAGCCAATTCAAGTCACAGAAAGTGTCGGCTCTTATTTCATTATGAACTTCCTGATTTACAATTTCATGTGATGTAACATTGGGAGCAGACACACTTCCTTCAAGCTTTCTCTGGCCGAAGAGCATATTTGGACTCTTCAACTGTATTTCACTGCATAAGAAACTTGCCCGAGTTAACAAATATAAAATAAATTGCCGCACAAATTCTCATATTTGCACTGGCAAGATCAAAGTGTTAAACAAACTAAAAACGAGATAATGAAAATACTTCATGCAAATAACTAAGAGTAATGAAATAAAAATGCGGACATAAAACAATGTAAAAAAAAGGAGCTTATTTTGCAAGTTATTAAGTTCAAACAGGTACTCTAAGACTAGTGACCAAATGAAGAAACTAAACATGCTTATGAACTTGGTGGAGAGACAAGCCTCTTGATCTAAGGTGACCCACACAGCTACACAACAATACATATAACAAATAAGACTGTATTAAAAAGGTAGAAAAACCTGAAATCATAAGCTTAGAGGGAAAGTATGTCCTCAACAGCAGAACAGAAGAGATGGAGGAAGTCATAAACATGACCAGAAAAACTAAGAGAGTAAACAGATCAACATCTTTTAAGAAATGAGATAGAAATTGTGCACAAATGCAGAATGAGAAAGGGAGGAAGATTCACGCTGCATCAGGTGCCACCACCTGGTCTTTGGTCTGGTTCACTGCAAAGTCTTTAACATTTTTTATTGAGCTACGTGTTTTCGCTATCAATTTTTCAAAGGAAGTCAATTTTAGGCGAGAAAAATCTTCTCTGCATGCTGGAACTGGGGCAAGAATCATCCCTTGTCCCACAGCTTTAACAGTAGCTTCCAAACTGCAAAGTGGACAATTGAAAGAGAAAAAAAACTAAATTCTAATAGGATAACATATCTGCTACTGTGTGTGAGTAAGAAGAGTCAATTGATAAGATACCTACCATTTATCAGGGAATAGGTCATCACCAATCCCAGAAACGTGAAGATAATAATCAGAATCCAATTCCCATAGAGCAGGTTTCCCTTCCTGTGGTTTAAAATAACCCAAAAATCTGGTAAAACCAACAAAACATAATAGTTTCAGAACGTAAACAAGCTGACGTAAACTTCAAAACCAATTTAATTTACAGCCAGAGCATTGTGACACTATCTTTTCATAGATAATTACTAAGCCTTTATGGAATAAAACTTTTAAGGATAAGGGAAAAGCAATTTAAGCCTTTATGGAATAAAACTTTTAAGGATAAGGGAAAAGCAATTTAGAAATGTAAAATTAAAAATAAAATATGACAGGTAGAAATAAGTACAAATTTATTGCATCTTGCTTTTCACCATCGGTGTCGCTTGATAGACTAAAGAAATTCTCTAGATTGGGTAGTAGCTCTCCACCTTCCCTGCCTGAGAAGAAGGATGTATTTATAGTCCAAAAAAGAAGACACGCAACTAGATGTGCAAATTCAATAGCCAATAAATGCATATTAAAATATAGCATGTCAGAGATAATCTGATGAGACAAACAATACCTGGTATATAGGAGAAAAAATAAAAGATTGAGGGACTCAGGTCAGGCTTTGAGCGTGACGGTGGGTGGTTTTAGGTTTATGGAAAAGTGACAAGTGGCAAACACTGAGTGGTTCGAGAGTTGAACTCAGTTACAACAATAGAGTACAAAGAATAAAAGGCAGCGGGAAGGACCTGTGGAGCAGCAAATTTTGTAGAGGGAAGAGATTTGGAGAGATGCTAGCTCTCGAAGTCCAGTGGGTTCTTATTGTTGGCAGACTCATCCTGGATGAGCTGTTTTTTTGATTTAATTGATTATTGCTTTATTTGAGTTGTAAAGAATTGTTATCTTAATAGAATTTACTTTGATCTGTCATTGAGTACAATTATCAAATCTGTCCAACATTATTGTGTTCCATTGAGAGTAGTACTTTGGTTAGAATTGGTTGACTGAAAATTCTGGGTTGATAACCAGCAGAATTGAAATAATCTGGGAAGTGTCTATGAGTTGAGCGTGACAGAGGTAGGCCAGGTTTCTATCATAATCATTCAGAATTGTGAGCAGCAGAGCCACCATATTGTTGTGCAAGAGGATCCCCCATAAGAGCTGGAGCAATGCTGCTATTAGGGTCAACTTTTGGCATGTCTGTCAAACCCATTGCATGCAGCTGGCGGCCCAAAGCAGCAAGCCCATGGCAACATCATGGTTGTCTTTTCTATTTTCTTGGCCAAAATCCGCATCTCTTTCTCAACTAATTGTAGAACTTAAATTCTCACCACTACTTGCAAGCCTTGCAAGGTCCCCTGAACTGGCACGCAACTCTCTTAGAGGAGCATCTCTGCAAGAAACAGACACAAAAAGAAAAACAACGTTAGAATTTTGAAAATCATAATACGTGTCTTGTCTAGGCACCTAATAAAGTTTTACGCTGAGATAGAAAACCAAACACAACCTCAAAGAATGGGCTTCCAAAAACCATGTATTTCTGCACCTGTAACAGTCTACATAGTGTCTCCAGAATAGAGTGCCAATAACAGAAAATAAAAATGTTCATATACTTAAGCACCTGTAACAGTCAACATAGTGTCTCCATATATTTAACTCCGGTTTTGAATTAAAAAAAAAAGAATTCCAAAAGTATATATAGCCATCATGTTGTTTAAAGAGTAGAGTGCCAATAACAGAAAATGAATATGTCGTCCACATACGATACCTACACTTAATCAACATGCCAATATTATCAAGTAGAAGTGAAAGAAAAAAGGAATGTGAATATAGAATTTGTAATATTTTGTGAGGAAAGAAATAAAATTAATTTTATGGCTTCTATAAAAGAATTGAACCAAATTTGCAGTCTCTTGACTATTGGAGAGCCAGAGAAAATATATTTTTTCGGTATTATCAAGACTTGCCCTTGGAGTGTTTTCGCTGTTCCTGTCTCAACCGTCTCATAGAACAAACCTTTAGTGCAAGTGGAAGAATTTTAAATGAAAGGAGGACTAAACTTTCACCACAAATGATTAAAGTCCTCATATGTCTGAGATTGAGAAGGTCGCGTCATCAAGGTCAATACGAGGTTGTGACGACATACTTAATATAATCATTTCAATTTTGTAATATAGATGATACGGATAAGAGAGGTCCTAGTGAACCCCAAAATTAATGTGTTTGTAAATTGTAAATTATAAATTAATTGTCAATTATTGCACTCTTTTTCCTTACCAAGTTTTTGTCCTATTGGGTTTTTTGGTGAGGTTTTTAACGAAGAAATGAATAATTATTGTAATTTTATTTTATTTTTTAATAAATGAAAAATTTAATTTTCTTATATTACAATTTTAATATAAATGTATTAAATTGAATTAACATTTGGAATGTTAACAAAAAAAAAATTAATTTAATTTAATTATTGATATTTGAAAAGAAATTAACAATTAACTAAAAACAATTACATTTATAAATTGTTAATTATTCATTTGAAAAGTTAATTAACATTTAAACTTAAACAAAAAAAAATAAAAAAAAATCAAAAAGCGGTTAACCGGCGGGTTAGGGTTGCGGTCGGGTTGGGCCAGCCAATTCTCTAATATTGGCAGGCCTAACCGGCCCGCCAATTTCACCGGGAGGGTCAGGACCGACCCGCCATTTACAGCAACCAGCGCGGGTCGGGTTGGGCGGGCGGGCCGGTTGCTTTTTCACCTCTAGATAAGACTAATGATATCAACAGAAAACCTGACCTTCAGAACCCAAAAATAAAATAATAAGCAAAGAAAATCAAATAATCAAAGAAGTTCCTAAGTATTACACGTCTTTAGGTCTTATAAGGGTCTCCACAGAGGCTACCATATTCGTTGCAAAATGCATCATGGTTAAATTAACAATGAGCAAGATACGTAAGAACCAAAAATATAAATGCGATAAAGTATAATAACTAGATATGTGGGAAGCGTCATAGTTCATGCATAACTGACTAGGAAGAAAATCAGTAAATAGGTTTGTAGGGGTAATAAGTCTTAACAAATACCAACTTGCAGCACAAGGGCCTAATAACTACTGTCATGCAGAAAAAGGATGTGCAATTCAACATTGGACCACCATAAATCTATATAAGAAACAAAACACTAAATAAATTTTTCAAGCAAAGCTAATCAGCATCATTTAGTTGTGCATCTTATCCCCATTTGTCACAGGTTGCTCCTATTGAAATAAAAATAAAGTAGAAATTTACAGTTTCCAGAACTCTGTGCCCCCAATTGTGGCATTGATTAGAGATTTTATATCAAACAAATGCATTTTGACGCTATTATCTTCTAAGAATTATAAAATCTCTGGTAGCAAAAGATTGCATTAATATGACAAGTTTTTTTTTTTTAATTTTAGTTACTTTAACCAAGGATAGTTTTAAATATTGGATGGATGAGAGATTTTTGTAATCTTTGTTTGATGTTGATTCGAAATTTGTTGATGATATTAACTGAAGATTGTTGTGGTAAAAATTTCGTAAACCATCAAAACTGAACCAATCGACCCAATTTTCTCAGTTGGTTTCATTGAAGAAGGCTCCAGTACAGTTGGGTGTTTGAAGGAAAAAAAATTCAATTGGGTTGGTTCCATTCAGACAAAAACCAATATGTAGTGACTTTATGCAAGTACAAAGCTAAATTAATATGCTCACCCAGAGAAATTTGGAAAATAAATCCTGTGTTGATATCAAAATCATTAAAACAAACTCCAAATAAAATTTATGCAGATAGCAATATTAAGGCAAATGAAGAACTTATACACTCAATGTAAATAAGATGTACCTGAAGAACGTCTGCATCTTTTGAAATTTTGATGCAATGTTCTGCATGACTTCTGCTCCAGCAATGCGCAACAATGACAAAAACGTTAAAGCAAGGAAGGAAATGGGAGGAAAGGAAATAGAAGAAATGATTTAGGAAGACATAAAACTCACTTCTCCTACTTTATCAGAAATCTTGATGAAATAAATTCCGATCCAGAAGCAATAATGGTGACAGAGCATCTAAATCTCCCTCTTCAAAGACATAGATTCAACAAGGACATCATTGTAAGGATGCAGTCTTTAACAAAAAATAAAGTCCAACAACATAACTTAATGAGAGCAAGCCTGAAAAATGCAAAAACATCCATTTGGACTCTTTATGCCTCACGGGTGAGTTTCATCACATCAAACACAAACTTCTGAATTGGTAGACAGATATTGAATGCCGAAAACAATCAACAAGATGCACTACGGATTCATATTTCTTACATGACAGAACATCCTGCAAAGTTTTCAGACAACCTGAATTGCTGTTGTGCCTCAAGCACAAATTGCTTGCAACATCGAACTACTCATTAACTTCAATATAGAGCCAGAAGACATATATCTGGGGACTCTTTTGACCTATACACAAAAAAGGATCACGCAATATCAGAAGAGCTTATTTTACAATGGAAGTTAATATTGACAACATTTTATCTTTGTATGATTTATCAAAAGCATTTAGGCTCTCCCTTAATATGCAATAGAGGATCCACAGTCGGATTTTGTTCTAGAGCTGTATTGTTTACGTAACAATCCAAAGATTGTTAAGTTTGTAACTAGATGATCAATTTGTCCTTTGTAGCTGGCTGAAGATAAGATTCAAAAGCCAGTTGACTACTTCCAAACATACACATTTGACACTTGAACTGTTACTACCTATAGGAAGGTCATCCATATGCAAGTTGGAAAGTGGCTTTTGACAAGATAATGGACCTCCATGACCAAAATGGCACATGAAAGCATTTCACTTGTGGAGACGCAGAATCAATTAGCAAAAAGTACTCCCTCAATGACTTATGCATTATATATACAGCAGGAAACACAGCTGCAAACTGGTTTCACACTTTCTGCAACTTCTCCTCCCCAATGATCCATCTTGACAACCTACTCGGATCTTCAGCAAACAATTTACATGATGTCGGGATGACCGAAGATCAGCACCAATTTGATCATACTCCCTGAGGACTGCTTCCATCTCTGCTTCACAACATCTTGTCAAGTCTATTCATTTCTACAACATGAGAATAGTGCATCTCCCTCTATGATCATTTTGGGAGGTTCCATTGCTGGGCCCTGCAATTCCAAGAGTTGACTATAAGAGCTTGTTTCCAGTACATGCCCTATGCATCAATTATGAAAATGATTAGAGCTGGCTATATTTTCTTTCCTTCAAAGAACATGAACACATTACCTGGCATAGTTCAGTTAATGTTTATATATCTCACTCCTTCATCTGATCACCGAGCGTGTTCACCATACCAACCATTGGCTTCATCAGCAAAGATCATTGTGAGATACCTAGATAACACAAGACAATAATAAAGTTATAAACAAAAATGAAAGAGATGAGAAATCAGTCACAGAAATGAAACTACACATTCCCATTTTAAAGTGCCATCGCCATTCTGAATTTGGTATTGGTGTAAAAACTCTAAACCTTCGGTGA